CTGTTCGTAGCTTCAAAAAGATGGGAGGTTGTTGCAGAAATGGAACACAGAACAAGAACAGGGACGGTGGCTTCTGACCAAGAGTGATTAAAATGGAAAGGGTCGCACAGCCATCGGAGACCACTCAGGCCAGTGCTGCTGATGGACGTGGTGGGACACCCCTCACGAGTCCCTGTCTCACTCTGCACAGTAAGAAAGGAACGAACTTCACAGTCGTGCACTTGGGTTCAGTTCCTCCCTTTGCTGCCTCCCGTCTCCTCACCCTTAACCAAACCAAAACACTGCCTTTGAGTCAATTCTGACTCGTGATGACCCTATAGGTCAGTGGCTCCCAACCTCCCTAATGCCATGACCCTTTAATACAGTTCATGTGGTGGTGACAACCTTCCCGCCCCCCACAACCATACAATTATTTTCATTGCTACTTCATCACTGTGATTTTGTGACTGTTATGAATTGGGTCGCTTGACCCCCAAAGGGGTCACGACCCACAGGTTGAGAACCGCTGCTATTGGTCAAGGTGGAACAGCTCTCTGGGTTTCCCAGACGCTCCACTCTTTATGGCAGCATAAAGCCTCAACTTTCTCCTTCGGAGCAGCTGGCCGTTTCAAACTGCTGCCCTTGAGGTTAGTGGCCCAACACATAACCCACTACCCTACCAGGGCTCCTTCCTCATCCTTCACATGAGGAAAACGGAAACTGCGCTCCAGGTTGGTAAAGGGTTTAATGGCAGCGTGCACACACCTGGCGTGCTCATGAGTTGGAATCAAATCAACAGCAACGGGCTTTATATGAGAGGCGCCCAACCAATTGAACAGGTAGTAACTCGCCCGGAGAGTGACATGAAGACCTACAGGAATGCCAGGTGCAGTCCTTCCTGAAGTCCCAAAGATACGATGTTAGTTCAAAGATGGCGGTGTGAATGCTGAAGGGGCTGTGAGGGTCTGCTTAGGTGAACGCGTTTGAAAATGAGGGTGGCGACAGCCGTGCCACAGGAGAATGCAACCGGTGTCACGGAATCGTACACGGAAAATTAGTTACCATGGCCTGTGCTTTGTTACATGAATGTTTTTTAAACCCCAATAATTAAGATGGAGGGGAGGGGGAAAAGAAGAATCTTTCTATGTTGCCTTGGATCTTTTGTCATGTTCTAGCCCGAGAGTCAGCCCGCTGTGTCACTCATGTCCCCTCATGCTCTAAAAGGCTGCTTCTTTAGTCAAAAGAGCAGGTCGTAAAAGTATATCGCTTCTGGGGCACCTGAACTTCCAAAACCCCCCTAAGCCATGGCTAAGGCCTAAACAGGCATTGGCGGTGCCTTTAGCTGAGGTTGCTTGATCCCTGGCAACCCACCCCCTGCTTCGCATTTAGCCTCTCCAGAAGTGGCAAGCTCAAGGCCAGGGACGGGGGCTCAGTGCTTTGCCCAGAGTTGGCAATCATTTCACACAGCCACGAGGCCCAAGGAGACTCTGGGTGAGGGTGATGGGGAGGGTGGGGACTGCCCCAATGAGGGTCACAGGCAGCCCGTCAGCATCTGAGACTCATTGGGAAAGTGAGCCAACGGTGGGGGTTGGGCGGAAGAAGCAGAGAGAAACTGGCATTTAACATCGCTGGGTTGTTTCTAAAAGGACAAGAGCCGAGGTACAAATTGCTTTCATCAGCTTTTTAAAAGATACTTTGAACAATGAGTATGAAATCAAACCTGATGTGATGCTTTCCTGGACAAACCTCAGCTCCCCCCACCCCTCCAGCTTCCTCTAATCATGCAGGAATCAACACTTGGTGGAAATTTGCACTCATCTGCCCGTAAACATGCAGCGTTTGAAACAGGTGCCACAGTTTTCAAAGGTTCTCACGCTCAGTGGGTAGAAGCAGAAGCATTCTTTTCATCCTGATACCATCTCTCACCCCCTCAATTGGGGGTTGGTGACCCTGGGTGCCCAATCCTAAGAGCAGGCAGGTGACACTGGGCATCAGACCAGGGGCATCTGAAAGGTTGGGTTCTTGCTTTGTCTGATTGGACTGACTAGGGCCACTTGAATATTTATAAATCATTCGTGAGCCATACTGGTCAAACATTTCATTAACTCACCCTCATGTGATGGTGGCTGGAACTGCTGCCCTTTGGTGACACGTGTGATGGTAGCTGGCCTTGATGATCCTGTGGGCCTTCTACAGCCCTCGGCCTGGACATTGTCCCCCACTCAAGGTTTAGTTTATTTGCACAAGCTCTGAGCCAAAGGTCAAGAGCTACTATTGTGTTTGAGAGGAGTTATGGTGGAGTGGCTGAGTGCCTGGGTTTGAATCCCAACTGTACCCCTTATTATTTTTGTGACCTTTGGAAAGACATTTAACCACTAGGTGCCTCATTCCTCAACTGAGAAGTGGAGATAATAATGAGATAACACCGCCTGATTTAGAGGAAAAACAAAACAATAAACAACCTCTGCCATCAAGTTGATGTTGACTCTTAGTGAGCTTATAGGACAGGGTAGAACTGCCCCTGTGCGTTTCTTAAGATTGCAACTCAGGAGTAGAAAGCCCATGTTTCTCCCATGGAGCAGCTGGTGGTTTCAAAGTGCTGACCTTGCAGTTCGGAGCCCAATGCATAACCACTACACCACCAGGGCTCCTGACTTGCAGGAAGCACCAGCTAAATGTTAGCTACCCATGGGAAAGGAAAGCAGCAGAGAGCTCCCCTGCTGGGTTTCTCCAGAGGGGGGGGGGAGTGGAAAGGCAGCGTCAGGGTGGAGGGAGATGAGAGAAGCAAGGAAGCAGACAGAGAGGAGTCAAGAAGCAAAGAAAGCAGCAGAAGGGAGCAGAGAAAAGAGTCCAGCCACAAAGCAATCCCTCACATGTTTACTTTGGGGGGTAGAGATTGGGGACTCGGAGAGGGAGAGCATCAAGCAGCGTCCTGATTGGCAAGTTTGAATGAGGTGGAGGTGACATGGAGGTTTTTCCCGCCCACAAAGGGGTGTGGGGTGCATGTGGGGGTGGAGAGAGTCTATGCATAATAAACTTGGGGAGGAGAGGCTTGGAATGGCTAGGTGCTGTTTTACACTCAGCTGGACCCATCAGCTATGATGTTGGGTTTTTTTTCATTGTTTCATAAAAGAGTTTCACAAACGGACTAGAGATTTATTCCTCTGGAGTCTAGTTTGTTTCTAGAGCAGTTTGCTTTTAAAGCCATCATGAAAACAGTCATATAATTCTTACTATATGGAGCAAATGATTAATGGGTTTGATGGCAAATAAAAAGGTTGGGGGTTCGAGCCCATACTCAACAGGAAGGGGATCCTAGTGACCTGTTTCTCAAACACACGCCAATTGGAACTACTTGAAACACAGTGTCCCCATGAGTCAGAATCAACTTCGTGGCAACCGGTGCTGATGGAGTGCTTCATAAAGGTCACCACTGCCGTGCGGGGACATGACACGGGACCTGAGGGCATGGCTGTCTTCCAAAGCAATGTTTGCAGTCAAAGAAAAGCTGCCTTCTAATGTGTGTGCTCAGTACTTGTGAGTGTCCCACATAGTCCCACGCATTTTCATACTTATATTTTGGTCTCTCACCAATTAATTGTGGCACGTTCTGAGGCTGGATTGATGTTCAGAGGCTTTCAGGTTGAGTGGGACTTAGTAGACACAGCCCCTGCCTGCTCTTAGGAGAGGATTGGGCACCCAGGGTCACCAACCCCCAATTGAGGGGGTGAGAGATGGTATCAGGATGAAAGGAATGCTTCTGCTTCTACCCACTGAGCGTGAGAAACTTTATCAGTCACAAACTGAGGGGACACAGCAAACAAGACATTCTCCAAGGAGCTTCAGTTTCCTCCACCCCACCCCACCCCCGCCAGGCAGCCAGGCCAAGACGGGAGTGCCTCTTCACACAGGTGTGCCCCAAGAAAGCCTCATTATTCAGAGGTACCAACAGGGATAAAGTCAACAACATGGTCTCTTAGAAAACAAGTCTGCCCTGCTCTCGCTACCATGACTCGAATTCGATCTTGCAAGTCTGGCTAGACCAGAGGATGTACAATGGTACAGATAGGAACTGAAAATACAGGGAATCCAGGATGGATGAGCCCTACAGGACCGGTGGTGTGAGTGGCGAAACAGGGAGGGTAAAGGGAGAGTGGGTAGGAAAGAGGGAACCGATTACAAGGAACTATATGTGACCTCCCTGGGGGACGGGCAATAGAAAAGTGGGTGAAGGGAGACGTCGGACAGGGCAAGATATGACAAAATAACAATTTATAAACTATCAAGGGCTCATGAGGGAGGGGGGAGCGGAGAGGGAGGGGGAAAATGAGGACCTAATTGGGGGGGGGGTGTTTAAGTGGAGAAAAAATGTTTTGAGAATGATGAGGGCAATGAATGTACAAATGTGCTTTACACAATTGATGTGTGTATGGATTGTGATAAGAGTTGTATGAGCCCCTAATAAAATGATTAAAAACAAAACAAAAACCAAGTCTGTGTGAAGTTACTTCACAACTCAGGTTTTCACAACATGCCTGCAGGGCATATCCAGGGAGGCCCAGTGCCCTGGGGCTAACAGCCTTTGCTTGAAGTGGATTCTCTTAACTAATGCTGAGTACATTTTTTCAATCAGGGAGATGAATTAGTCTGTGCTTTTTTGCTTATTTGTTATCTTGGGTACAGATGGTTCTATTTCTCTGGCCTAGAACTGGCAGAAGGGCCTTTGACAAAGGGCGGTGAACCCTGGCTGAGTTTTCTGTTTCCGTTGAAGAACGACTACCGCTTCGGAGGGTCCTTGTCATGGATGGGGGCGCCACACTATGGAGGAAGGGACAAGCAGCGAAGAGCGGATTCCCCCTTCCATCCTGCAGGATTCAAGCACCAGACACCTATCACCACTGCTTCAACATGATGACCCGGTGACACCCATGCCTAAGGACACGATGGGAGAAGGTTCTTCAAACATCACGCAAAACCGACAGACGGGCGGCCGGCAGAGCGAGGCCACGAGGTCTACTCACTCTTTGGTGAGAAGCGGGCAGGACTTGAGCAGGAAGCGGGAGAGCCCCGAGTCCTGGAAGTAGAGTTCCGGCGGCGCTGTGGGGCTCTTCAGGTTCAAGCAGCGGACAATCACGTACAGCACAGCGGCCACCGCCGCGAGCTTCACCCCATCAAACACGGCGGGGAGCTCAGGGGTCTCCGGCATGGCATTCATCTTGGTCCTAGGGCAAAGGACAGTGTCCAGTGATGAGCATCGAGAAGGGGGAGCCCACCCACACGCAGTAATCATGCCACCCAACCAGTGCCTGCGAGGGCGTGTCACTAAGTCCTGTCAGCTCCCGGCAGCACCCCAAATCACAAACGCACAATCCCGGGCACTGACGAACCGGGCAGACGATGCGTGTTTTTTTTCTTTTGTTATAATCCAATGAACATTTCCCAGATCAGTCTCTTGAAAAGTGCTGAGATGCGCATCCTACTGAGACGGGGAGAATGCAGCTCAGGCAGCCTGCCCTCCCATCTCTCCAAACACTTGAGCCCAGCTGGTGTAGCCAGATGTGTGCCAAGTTGCACTGCTAGCCTTGGACACAGGCAGGAGATGGGATTGGTGTTGCCACTTGTGGTGGCTGCACTGCCTGCAGGGCCCTAACCCAAGGTGTTCCTAATCTCTCTGCCTGTGGCTATAATCCCATTTGGGACTGGGTTGGCTATGTTGAGCCAATGAGGCGGGATAGTGTGAAGCAAATTGGAGTCAATCTCATCTGAAATAAAGAGTTTAAAAAAGAAAGTGAGGAAGCAGAGATGAGGGAAGGGCGATCTCAAGCCACACAAGAATTGCCCAGATGATCAGAAGAGACAAGGGCCTTCCTCCAGGGCTGGTAAGGAGACAAGGCCTCCCTTCCCCTGGCTGGTGCCCCAGGTTTGGACTTTGAGCCTCCCAAACAGTGAGAAAACAAGCTCCTGTTTGTTACAGGCATCCACCTGTGGTATCTCTTATACCAGCACTGGGTAACTCGGACGCATGCTGAGATCAACCAGCCTCTGCTGACTGCTCAGCCTGGGCCAAGAGTCCATTCCACACTGCTGGCCGTCTCCACAGTGGCCCTTGCTCCTGGGGGCTCCAGGGAGTGTGAAATGCAATGCCACCAATTTTTCCCCCCACCCCACAGAGGATAACTCACTGTAGCCAATAATATAAAATAAAACCCACTCTGGATCGTTTAATCATTAGACTAAACTGAAAGACTGGAGAAGAGAAAATGTTTATGCATAACTGGCTTTTCCCAAACTCTCCTACTGTTACTTCTTTTGAGCTATCTTTACCTTACACACAAACATACCTCCAGACACACAAAAGAGCCAAACATCAATGACAACAAAAGCAACAGCAAAGAAAACCCAGCATTTTCCCAAGTGTTCAGCTGAAAAACAGAACATCAGATGTTACCTTAAAAGCCACAGAAACCAAAAGTTAACAAAAAGAAGAAATGGTAACTATCACACTCAGGTAGCTATAGCAACAGCTTCCCCCGGAATAATTTCAAGTAGCCTCTGCTAAAAACA